AGATTACAAATGCCAAATTGACAGTGTAGTAATCTCTCTCAGCCCAGAGAGTTTCAAGATTTAGATTTTCCTGACAAAAAGATTATTTCTAGCATTACTCACTTTGAAAATAATTTTATTCCAATAACAAAGAGATATTGGAGAATAATGAAGAAAATATTGCCTAGATGTATAATAATTAGAAATCAATTGAGGGACATTTTGCACTATATTGCTAATAGAAAACTCCGTGAGTTCTCAGCCCTGTATGTGAATATGCTTAGGAAGAGATACCACAAGTTCACATACAAGTCTCAACAGAAGTTCGTTTTCAATTCTGTATCCTTAACAGTTTTCGTGGTTGCACAGTAAACAGGAGCAATGAGTAACTTTTAAAAGCATGAGAGCACTACCATTGGATATATTGTAGCCATTAACAGCAGTAATTAAGAGAGGTCATCAAAATATAACATGAATTGTGCTAGTAGCATCATGCACTACACCCTCAAACTAAAGAGAACCTTAGGTAACATCATGTTATTAGAGATCCCTACATGTATTGTAAATATAAAATATTTGTAAAATATAATTAAAAGATATCAGTTAATCACACTTCAGAGTCAATTATGTGCCAAAACTGGACACTTACTATGTAGAAAAGATGGTATTCTCATGGAAACATAGTATTTATAATAGCAGGTAAATACTTACATTCCTAGAGCCTCTAATATTTTTCAAAGTGTGCAGGTCTGAGTCTAATACCATAGTGAAGCATTTGGTAACTGTGAGCTGAAGAAAATATGATTCAAAGGAGGTATGTAGGTTCCTGAGCTGGGTTGTCACTACATCTTAATGGGATCCATTGAGATTGTTTCCTGTGTGACCCTACTATCTTTCAGTATTCCAGCTCTCAAGAAAACCAAAATCCTGGTTAATTGCACTACTCTGAGAAAGTGGCATAAATGTGAGAACTTGACACATGATTGGAGTTGACCCTATATCGAACCTGGTAAGAAAGGAATATTTTAATCAATGCATTGAATCCATTCATGTAACTATTTAGTTGAAGTCCCCCAGGGAAATCCATTCTCATTCATTGATACGGTAAAAACAGCAAGTCCTAGGGACACTGACTGGAAACATTTAATTGATGGCTATTGTAATTGATTGGTGATAACTGAGCGAAAGAAACTATAAAGCAACTATTGACCCAAACTCAATATTGCAAGTTGACCTATTATTTTATTATCTTAATGACAGCTATTATCTCAAGGAAGCAAAATGGAGATTTGACTACTTATTACACTGCAGATAAGGCAAAGATGAGAAGCCAGTTTCCTTGCTAATGAATGTTAGCAGAGACTGTGGCAATCTTGTGTATGACTTAATTCAGTAACAAACATTCCACTGTAATACAAAAAAAATTACAAATAAATAAAAAACACAAAATATGAAAGCCATGGGCATAGAAGTTTTTTTAAGTAAATTCAGCAATAGAGCAGTATCAAGAAGTCCGAATAGGAAAAAAGACAGGTTTGTATGTGTCTGGAGGAAAATAATAATCTTGATATTTAACCAATAATTATTTGTTAAGCACTGACCACATGTGTGCGTTGTCTTGGTTTTGCTGGTTATCCCAGTAAACACACACACACACACACACACACACACACACACACACACACAATTTCTGATCTCAACAGACTTATGTTGCCAGGGCAAGTGCTGTGGTAAAAATAAGTACTGTGTGGCAATGGTGCATAAATGGGAGTTGGGGGGATCCAACACAACCACCAGATTTCGAAGGACTTCCCAAAAGAAATAATACTTAGGCTGAAAAATCAGAGATTGGTGTCGTCAAGTTGAATTCAAGGAAAAAAGAAAGATGGAGTAGAAAAAGGGAAAGGATTGGACGGGGTGCTTGCTCCAGACAGGTGCTTCCTGTGAGGTGATTATACGACACCTGGCACATCATGTGAGTTCGATTACCATAATTAATTAGCTTTATTAAAGAAAACACTTGGGAAGAAGAGGATAGGGACACAGAGTCCATGAAATCAACTTTGCATGTATTCAATATGAGCTATATGTGGCTCTATATAACTGAATTTCAGAAAAGAAATCGCTACCAGACATGCAAATAGAAGAATTATCACATGTGGATTCTATTTGAAATCACAGGATTTTTTTTGTTTTGTTTTGTTTTGTTTTGTTTTTCTTTTTTTTTTTATTTCAGCAAATTATGGGTGTACAGATGTTTAGGTTACGTGTGTTGCCCTTGGTTCCCCCCCCACCGAAGTCCAGAAATCACAGGATTTGATGCATATACCCCTCAAAGTGTTTATACACTTTGTACACAAAATGACAAAACACTGTTTTGTCATAGGGGTTGGACAGAAAATTATAATTGATGGTGGATTTGGGGGAGCCTTGATAGCATGACCAAATCATTTGTTATGTAATTTGTTTTATTAAGAACCAAGCCACAGGCAAAGATACGGAACTGTTAGTCAACTTCAAGATTTCAGCTTCAAAATAGAGAAGGATGTGTGGAAGTAAAGGAAAATCTTAATATTGATTACATGAAAATGTATTGTCAATAAAAACTCATCCAGAATATAGATAAAAATTTAAAATAAGTTTGGAAAAATGCAATGGAGAGGTAAAATTTATAAATTGTTGGATTGTGGTGCAGTTAAACTGATCTATAAGAAATATCTCTTTAAGGATTATTTTAAAAAGGAAATTTACAAATTAAGTTCATGAGTATATTGACAATATTAATTACCAAACTAAAGAATAAATTTCATGTGAACCACTTGCTTGCTTGAGTTTACATCTTATTGTGTATCATTACTGAATTTTGACATCCCTATATTCTAATAAAATATCTGATTTTTTTCATGAAGCCTGGACAAAAGTAAGGAGTCAATTATGAGAAACCAAACAATAACAACATTTGTTCTACTGGGACTAACAGATGATCCAAAACTTCAGGGTCTGCCTTTAATTTTTCTGTTTTTTACTTATTTATTGAGTGTAGCTGGGAACTTGGCTATTATCTCACTTATATTAATGGATTTTCACCTTAAAACACCAATGTACTTTTTCCTACAAAATTTTTCCTTGTTAGAAATCTTATTCACATCAGCTTGTATTCCTAGATACTTGTATAATCTATCAACAGGTGACAAGACCATTACTTACTGTGCTTGTGCCATTCAAGCATTTTTTACTGATCTTTTTGGAGTAACTGAATTTTTTCTCCTGGCCACCATGTCCTATGACCACTATGTGGCCATCTGCAAGCCCCTACATTACACTACCATCATGAGCAGCAGAGTCTGCCGAAAAGTCATCCTCTACTGTTGGATGGCTGGCTTGTTAATCATACTCCCACCATTTAGCCTAAGCCAAAATCTAGAATTCTGTGACTCTAATGTCATTGATAGCTTTCTTTGTGATGTGTCTCCCTTTCTGAAGATTTCATGTTCAGACACGTGGATCATTGAGCATATGGTTATAGCCTGTGCTGTGTTGACCTTTATCACAACACTGCTTTGTGTAGTTCTCTCCTATGTCTATATAATCAAGACTATTGGAAGATTCCCTTCTGCCCAGCAAAGGAAAAAAGCATTTTCTACCTGTTCTTCCCACATGATGGTGGTTTCTATCACCTATGGCAGCTGCATCTTCATCTATGTCAAACCTTCAGCAAAGGAATCAGTGGGTGTGATAGTACTAACTACTTCCATTGCTCCCATGTTGAACCCATTCATTTACACCTTGAGGAACAAGCAAGTAAAGCAAGCCTTTAATGACTCAGTCAAAAGAATCACATTTTTGTCTAAGAAGTAAAGAAACGCTGAAGCTGATGAATCCAGTTTTTATAAGAGATTGCTTCTGCGAAGCATATATAATTAAGTTTCTAAAATAATTTGTTCCTTCATACTCTAAAGTCCATTCCAACCAGTTTTTCAAAATGTTTCCTGCATCCACTTCTCTAAATAAGGTCACTTCTTTTTACTCCTTGCAAACACTCTTCTTTTACTGATGTTATATTAAAAACTTTCTATGAGGAACAAAAATATCACATCATATCTAGTCTTACAAAAAGTGCAAACCAAACAAAATTTTAAAAAACAAAATGTGAATATTAATAAAAGATTAGATTTTTAAGAAAACAAGTAATAGTGCTCATTTTTATTATTCTGTCCATAGTTTCTCAGATAATCCCTTAATTCATCAAATGCACATGTTAAATATTTTAAATAAAATGCAGAACAAAACCAACAATAATCCTGCCCTCTTGTAGCATGTATCACAGATCAAATATATAACTAAAATGTAAAAATAAATCAGCACCACTATTAAGAATCTTGAGACACAATTTAAATGAAAAGCAATCAAAACAGCAACTCTTTCAAATTATAATATAGATTACACAGAATTCGTCTACAATGTTGACATAATTAAAATCACAGGTAAGTTTCCTAAACTACAGTGATAAAATTCTCTTATTAAAAAGGAAACAATTATAAAGCAAAAGACAAAAATGATAATTGTGTTTGAGAAATCAGTGTGATTATTGATATTGCAAAAAGTATCAAAAAATCTGAATCAAATATTGAATCTTCAAATCCAAATTGTAGCTTAAGTAAGCAAGAAAGTGACAGCAAGTCAAAGAAACTTTGATGTCCTCATGAAGAAATTAAGAAAATCAAACCAAGAAAATACACGGAAGTCTCAGTCAATGTACTCCATCAGACTAATACAAAATTTTCATTGGTGAAATAAAACTAATAATGTTTAAATATATACTACAAGCACAACCAAATCAAAGTGTTTAATTTTTTAGATTATCACAACATATTAATGAATAGAGATTGGAATGAAAATAAGCCCAATAACAGAACAGCAACCTTATTTAAAAGGGTGTTGAAAATTTAATTAATTATGAATTATTATAAGGAAGGAATAGTGAATATCAAGTCCATGTTGCTTCCTAGAACAAGATGCACTGTAATCAAGCAGACAGGATGGCAGTGGGGATAATAAGCCTGTCCAGTGTTTGCAGACAGCTGTTTCTAATAGAGGAAGACATCTCCAATCACCCATGGCACCAACAGTTCCATTATCACTTCTGTTTTGATATATTTTCTCTGAAATTCTCTTGACAATGTACAAACACACATACACTTAGAACATTTGCAATTATTAATAGATGAAGTCCACAGGAGATGTTGTAGTGCCCTGTCTATATCTTCTTGCCTTTCCTACTATGGTGTACACAAGCCTGACTTCCTGACTTGTAACTACCAGAAGCTACACTGAATCAAGGACTTTATTTCTGGCCACAGAGACCTAATTTGCCCATCTGCAAGGAATGCCAGAAGTTCCTAAAACTCCCTCAAGAGCAGCACTCATCCAATGAATAAAACAAATTAGTCTGTAAATATTCCTTCTCCATTGCACTCCAGTGGGAGAAATCTGAGGCATGTGTTCTACCCTGGTCCCCAGAGTTTCCACAGTGGAATGGAGACATATGAGTGGCTATGCTTGAGACAAGCATATTGTTAGACAATAGCAGCTTCCTCCTACTTGAAGAATACATAAAGTCCTCAGCTGAGGCAAAAGATCATACTTATTCTCCTTAAAACCTTCCTTCACCTCAAATCATGGCTTCTAGAACAAAGCCTAAGGTCAAGTCTCAGCACAGCATTGCTGAAGAATTACTTTACCTTCTATAGAAAGTGAACAATTATTCACCAAAATAGCTAAAATATACTACAGGAATCAAGAGAACATGCCTAAGAATGAATTGCAAGGGTGCTAGATTTGGGTGAGAGTTAAATAAAATATTGAATAAGGAAGAGATTATTGATATAGGTCCATTCTTAAGTAGCCCAACATTTGACAACCTGGCAAGGACACCTGGAGCTAGTCCTAATGTACTGCTAGTATGGCTCCTTAAAACTTGGATGACATGGCCCGGCTTCAGACCGAGGAATGAACACAGAGACATAAAGACGCAGACACATGACTGCAGCCCGTACAAAAACACACAGACACCACAAGACAGTATGAGGCTGTAGCGAAAAGCTCTCGCTGTAGCTGTTTTATTTATAATACAGGCTGTTTGGCAACCGTCCCACCACAAGTTCTTTGTTCCCACACCGTCCCGACTCAACACATCCCAGTTCCTTGTTGTTTCGTCTCTGGCAAACAGATGTTTGCATCTCAACTCTCTAGCCCCTCCTGTTTGCAGGGTGAGGGCACTCTGGACTTGCGTGCAAGGCCACAGACATGTTCTTCAGAAAAACAACAAGAAAACTTTCCCAGACAAAAGTGTCCTCTACATCTCCCCCTTTTTTATTTTGTTTTAAGGCACGAGACGCTGTGTTCGGACATGTTGCAGCACCGCCATTATTTTATGATGTTGTTGTTCTTTATTCATTCTTCTTTGGGACCATCGCCTGTAGACTATGAAAAAGCAGACAACAACTAATAATACGATGGGTAGATTGCTAGTAACTGATACAAGCCATGTTTTAAGGTGTTCAAAGGGATTTAGTTGGGTGAGACCATTAGCCAGGCCTTGAAAGATTTCTGCCCATTCGCATCAGTTATTTTTTGTTCCAAATTTTGGATATCAGAAGTTATATTGACACTGCCAGATAAGAGATTATGGAATGAATTCCAATGTCTGCTCGCATTAAAAGGAATAGGGGTAACACAAAATCAGGAGGAATTCCAATCACAGTGGAGAAATGACTGCGTTGTCAGTACTTGAATGTGGTCACCTAGTCACTGTACCGTATGTTGCAAATTCATAATTTCTCCTTCTAATTTTGTATCAATTTCATGTTGATATTGCCATAGTTGGTGGGAGTTCTCATGCCACCGACGAACAAAGTCAGCCGTTTGGATACTTTCATGCAAAGCCAAGCTAACTGCTGTGGCAGAAACAGCAATGGCTACCAATCCCATAGCAGCAGTTATAATTAGGCCTATTGCTCTCTTGGCTCTCTGTGCTAGAGCAGATACCTTGTTGAGTAGGGTAGTGAGAATGGCAGACTCGCTCCACAGTCTTGACCGATTTACAGGAAGCCATAGCTCAGTCTGAGCCTTTAAAATGTACAGACTATGCGAGCTTTCATTGAAAAATTGCCAAGAAGTGTGGTTAAGGCATGTGTGCAGAGAACAGTTTCTTACACAATGAATATGGTTAATTGATGAATTCCAAGTGATTTTCCCATCAGCAAGAGATATGGATAGGGGACACAGGCCAAGAGATATATAGAATGATTCTTATGTAAGTGGACCTGGAAACCTACTGAGTTATTATAGGACATGTTACCTGTCCATATATCTATATGCTCTCCAGATGCAAGCAGTTTCCATATATGGCCTTGCATCGCAGTGGTTCCCAAAAGATGAGGTTGAGGAGGGGATAAGCCCTTATCATGCTATATAATAGTTTTATTTGCTGAGGCATCTAAGAGTAAGACCTATGATGCCACCGAAGTGAGTGATTAGAGAATTTTCTATGAAAATTGCCATGAGACCTCCAATCAACAATTGGTGGGGTTTCGCTTAAAAGATTCAAAGCTTTGCCTCTACATTTAGTCCACTCTATATGTTGTAAAGGAGCATCAACATGTGGCATAGCACATATGGGCAAAGGTGACTGGCCCTCAGTCAAATTGGTAGGTTTTCCGCAGAGGCCTTTTACGGATAACAGAACTGTGAAGGCCACAAAAGAGGAGGTATTATACTGTAGCCCCCAGGCTTCATGGGAAATAGGCAGACAAGGCCTAAGACCAAAGCAGATAGGATATCTTTCCACACTTATGGAATAATTGGAGATTAGCCTCCCTTCCTCTTTGTTATATAAAGACTGAGTTTGGTAGGGAGCAGGCATCCAGTTGGAATCGTTGGTGTACACCATGACTTCTGGGTCACCCAGAAGCTTTGAATAAAGGGGGATATGGGACAGCTACAGCTTTGAATAAAGGGGGATATGGGACATAGGTCTAATAGGTATAAGTAGAAGAGGGACACACGCAGCCCACCTGGCAAGAAACGATGGCGAGCATTGCCAGAAAAAGAGTACCAGTGTTGCGTGGCTGTTGTGCACATGTTACCACATTTTCAGCCTCCTGAGTAAGCTTTTTAAGCTGTCCCCACGTAGGTGGTGTGGCCTGAGTTGTTGCCACCATGTAGGTCCTGCTGCGAATGGTCAAGTTCTCGAATTCCTTGAGAAGGTCCTTGGTCCGCCCTCACTTGGCCATTGCATCGCTTAGAACAGCACATTGGTACCCACTCACAACCGTTATCTGTGGAAACATAAGCATAGCCCCAATCCCACTGTAGTACCACCCCCTCCCTCCAATCACCAGTAGATAAACGGACCTAGACAGGATCAGGAGAAGAAGGAGCTACAGGTTTAGCGGGGGTGAAATGACGCTCCACAGCAGAGGTTCCCAATGCCTGCCAATGATTCAAAAAATTTAATGTGAAAAGGGCTCGAAGAAGATGACGATGAGGTGACTCCGGAGTTTCCCCTTTTTGTTTTAAAAGTTGAAGTTTTAAGGTACGATTGACATGTTCAATGATAGCTGGGCCTTGATTGTTAGAGGGTATGTCAGTAATATGATGGATGGAATACAGGTGAAGAAAATCAGCCAATTTGTGAGAGGTACAGGCCGGGGTGTTGTCAGTTTTAATAGTATGTGGGAGGCCCATAACAGTAAAGTAGGAATGTAGATGGGTGATAACTGTATCCGCTTTTTTAGAACTTTGAGTTGTGGTCTATTGAAAATGAGAACAAGTATCAATAGTATGGTGAATATAGC